GATGAAGGTCGACGAACATATTTTCGCGACTCAGCTCCATGGAAATCTACTGGCCGGCCGTGAGCTTCCCTGTGCCTGGACAGCAACAACCAACGCGGACAACAAAAACAAAAAAACTTAGAGATCCTGGAATCAGAGCCTCCCTGTGCCTGGACAGTAGAAACAAAGACGAGGAACAACAAACACAAAACGAACAACAACAACAAAAGTTTGTTCGAGGTACTTGAAAATTTGGAATTTCATGATTACAATAAGATTCCATGCGCGGCGGATTACACTAGGATTCCTTGCGCGATCGAGTGCAATAGGATTCCGCATGGGGAGTATTACAACAATATTCCCTAAAAGAGTACAATGGAACTCCTTGTGTGGAGGGTTACAAAGAGAATCCTTTTCTTGAGGATCACAAGGGGATTCCGTTTGTGGCGGGTTTCCATCGGATTCAATTTGCGGGGGCCTTCACAAGGATTCCTTCTGTGGAGGATTACATAAAATCCCTCTCTCATTACCTACATAAGGAATTAACGTGTAAGCCTTTTACCAAAAAATGCCAGCCGCCACAACAAAGAACAAGCTATCATTCGCCACCATAAGAATTAAATTGTAAGCCGTCAAAATAAGGAAAACGGATCTGCTACAGAGACACAGAGAGATAGAGCATTAGAAAGATGCACCCAAGGAAGAAGAAAAACATACCACCATGTACAACATGATCATTGAAAACAATAGGGTGGGGTGCTGGGGGTACTACCATCTATACATATAGACTTACATACATACAAACACACAAACACAAACCCACACACACACACACACACACACACCTGTGCGTGTGTGGTAGTCTGTTTGACGAAGCACCGCAGAAGCCCGCGAAGCACACCAAACGCACCACGCAGACACGCCAGTGTCTCGGGACGATCATGGGAATCTCTTTGGCCATCTTGGTGCGGTTCAAGCTTGCTAAAGGGATAACGTTGAACCCTTGAAACAAAACAAATGACGTCAAAGAAGTTGGCCTCACAGGCACCTCTCGGTGGCCATCCTGGAGCGTCTTGCAGAAGTTGTTGAAGCCTCTTGGGGCCCTCATGTGGCCTCGTGGAGGCCTCGTGGAGGCCTCGTGGGGGCGTCTTGGAGCCCTCGTGGGTGCCTCTTGGGTGCCTCTTAGGGCCTTGTGGGTGAGTCTTCGGGGCCTTTCGGGGCCTGTTGGGGCCTCTTGGGGGCCTCGTGGTTCGTTTTGGAGGCGTTTGGCTTTGGGCCCTAGGGGACCTTCTTGAAAGCCATCTTGACGCCGAAGGACAAATAGGCATGTTCTACTGGTGGTTGCGAGTTTTTCGCCTCCCGGCAGCCTCTCGGAAGGCCTCTCGGGTGCGCTTTGGGGTCCTTGAGGCCTCTCTTGAGGCGCCCGTCAGGAACTGTGGGCCCGTTAGGGAGGTAGGTGGGCGACTCTGGTTGCCCATGTGTGCACCCGAGAACTGCTTTGAGCGGCCAGGGGGGCCCAGGAGGCCCTGCAAAGAGTCCAAAACGTCGTGGGCCAAAAGGGGGGGGGGAGGAGGGACGACGAGGAGGAGGGAGGTACTCTATGGGGTATGGGAGGAGAATCAGGAGGAGCGTGCAGGAGGAGGATCAGTGTAGGAGGAGGAGGAGGCGAAAGGTGAGGAGGAGGAGGAGGGAGGAACGAGGAGGAGGAGGAGGATGTAGGAGGCAGGAGGAATGGACGAGGATGGCGAGGACGTCTCCTTGGATGCCTGTCCAGTGATCATATAGTCCTTGTACAGACAAGTTTAGGGGCTGCCTTCGGACTTTCAGAGATCACCTGAGGGTTCCTACGCCGTCATCGTCGGGCAGAGCTTGAAGCCCTAGCCACAAATCGTTGAGCTATTGTGGTTCAGTTGCTGGAAAAACCGCTTTGGTAGCAGAGCTAGTCAGCTCCGCGGGCCCTCCCTCTGGTCGGCCAGGCCTCCGCGCGGCCAGCGCGTGCACGCGCCTCCGCAGACCGTCTCCTTCGGGCTCCGAGGGGCCCACATAGGGGAACAAAAGTGGCATAAACATAAAAACTCGGAGGTCCGCGCGGATTTCTCGGATCGGCGCTGGGACCCCCGGCGGCGCCTCCGGCGCCGCCCCTGGCGCGCTCCGCGTTCCCCTACTACATCCCCCAACTGGGGCCGTGAGATGGCGGGGCTGAGAGATACCATACCGTGATGAAACGATTCGGGGACGCACTGACCGGGGTCAACGCAAACCAGAGTCAGTCAGGCCTTGCAGGACCCTGCAAGACCTTGCCGGCTCCTGCGGGATCCTGTGCGCTCACCTGGGCCAATGCAGCCCTGGCTCTGCAGCATCCTGCAGGATCGGGCGCCCTGGCTGGCCCCCCGCTGCATTCTGACCCCCGTCCCTTCCGCCCCGCTTGATTTTGAATTTTGGAGTCCCGAAACGGTGCGGTGACAGACCGTGCGGTGACCTTGAAATCCCGCAAGACCTCACTGCACGGTCCGTCACCGCACGGCTTTGGGACCCTGGAGGCCCCAATCGCCCGAGACACCCTCGGAGAACGACCCCGAGTCCCATCCCAAAACCGTGCGGCGACCCCGAATCCCCACCGGCTCACCGCACGGCGCGGTCACCTCACCGTCTGGGGGCCCCCCCGCGATGCCGAAGCCCCAGGTCGGCCCGAGCCTCCGGGAGGCGCCCCCGGCGCAGCGCGGGGGGCATGCCGGCCCCAGCCGCCCTCGGGCGGGCGCCCCCGCCGGCGGGCGCCGTCCGCCGAGGAGCGGGCGCCCAGAGCACCGGAGGCCTCCCAGACGGGGTCGGAGCGGGTGGGCCTCGGAGGACTGCGCCGCGCCGGCGATGCCTCGGCGAGGCACCCGCGATGCCTCGTCGACGTGGGCGAGGCATCGGCGGCGTCGGCGTGAAGCAAATCGGGCTCCGCATCGGGCCGCATCGGCGACGCATCGGCGAGGCAGCGAGATCCTCGGACCCCATCCACTCCGACCCCACCTGGGAGGCCTAGAAGCACGGAGCAGGCGCGTGGAGGCTCTCTGCGGACAGCCCCCCGGGGGTCAACCCCGCAGCCGCTGCCCCCAAGGCCCCGGGGATGCGCCGAATCTGCCCGAGAGCCGCGGGGGAGGAGCGCAGAGCGAGCGGCGCGCGCGCGCGCTTCCTCGAGCGCCGCGCGCGCGTGCTCAAGCTGCTCGAGGACGGAGCGGGCGGAGCTCGGGGAGGGCCAGCAGCCCCCCGCGTGGGCGAGGAAACATATCCGTGTCCACGCCCTCGCGGGCCGGGGCCTCTGGGCCGCGCCTCCGCGGCACGCACGATAAGGATGCGCGAAGAGGATGCAAGGGCCTTGGAAGACCCTGTCGACACCTTGGAAGACCATGTCGACACCTTGCGAGCGGGGCGCGGAAAGCGATAGCCGAAGGGGCAAGGATGCAAGGGAACCTTGGCAAGGTTGCCCCATCCTTCTTATGCGGGTTGACTGTAACTACGGCGCGTCTGTTCCGCGGATGCCACGCGCGGAACATGCAGTGGAGGCCAGTCCACAAGAAACCTTCCACAAGAAACCCAACCCTGAGAACCCAGGACGTCCATTGATTGTTGGTGGGAACTTCACACTTCCCATAGAAAACCAATCGAAAACCAAGAAACCTAGGGCACCCTGGAGGCAAGCAGGGTGTTTCTTGGCATGGGTCTCCACTGTACCCGCATTTGCGGGATCGCGCCCAGGAGTCCGGACCGCGAGGGCGCGGACATGGACACGTCAGTCGCTCGCGACTTTCGTCAGTCGCTCGCGACTTTCGGGACCACGTCGGAGCTCGCGCGCAGCTCTGTCTGCGCACCGCCCCAGGGAGCGCGCTCGCAGTGGCTGTGGCGCAGCTCTGCGTGGCGCCTCGGCCGGGGCAAGGTGCCGAGGGCAGCAGAGGGTGCGCGAGGCCGCGAGAGGGCCAGCGAGCTGCCACGACAAGAAAGCTGGAGTTCGCTCTGGCTTGACCCTCTGCCGCGTAACCGTCGCTACCCGGGCCAAAGCCCCCCCCCCCACCTCGCTCCCCCCCGGGTAACGGCAACGATCGTACGCAGGGGGGGGGGCTGGACCCCCCCACCCATGCTGGTGCTCGCGCGCATGCTATGGCGATCGCAGCGCACTCCCGCCCAGACGTGCTCCATCTCGCCCAAGCGTTGCCGTTACCCGGGGGCCTCACCCCCACCCCCACCTACCCCCCAGGGTGACGACCGCTGTCAGGTACACTGAACCAATTGAGCAGAAAATCTGCTGGGAGGGCCGGGCGCCCTCTCCTCTTTAGAGGCCACCTCTCTCGCGCTGCGCCGCCACATCCCATCGCCTCCGACTTCCTTCCCCTCGCCCTCGGATCGGAAAATCACGAAGGCTGCCCAATCATAATTTTTCGGAGGGCCGCGCGGTTTTCCCGGGTCGGCGTCGGACCCGCCTCTCACAGCGCGCGCGAAGCGCGAAAGAGGCGGCGCCAGAGGCAGCGTGGGGGGGGGGGGCTGCGGCGCCGACCCAAGAAAACCGCGCGCACCGCCGAAAGACCATGCGTGTGAGCACAGATTGTCGCTCTTCGACCCCTCCCTCCCTCCCCTCGGCGGCAAGCGAGGGGCGGGGGGGAATGAGAAGAGAAGGCTTTCTCGGCAGGCGGCGCGACTCCTCAGAAGCCCTCGCCCCTTCTGAGAAGTCTTCTGCGTCTTCGGGGAAGGCCCACAAGATTCTCAGAAGGCCCGGGAACGTCCGCGCCCTCTGAGGAAGGCCTTCTCCTCCTCCTCCTCCTCCTCCTCCTCCTCCTCCTCCTCCTCCTCCTCCTCCTCCTCCTCCTCCTCCTCCTCCTCCTCCTCCTCCTCCTCCTCCTCCTACTCCCCCCGCCGTCTGATGCCCGGCCCCTCCCTGCCCGCCAGGGGGCTCGTTGAGGTACCGTTTGGGTACCTCTTCGTGCAACCCTCGACGCCCCCCCCCCCTCCTCTATCGCCCCCCCGTTACCTAACGCCCAAGGCGCCTCCCACTTCCTGTTGCCGGAGGTGGCGTTGTAGGCGCGGACGAAGCCCTTCGTGCCCGGCCACGTCCAGCAACTCGGCGGCGGCCGGCAGCGGCGCGCTCCGAGGGGGGGGCGAGGGCGAGGCGTGGGGCCCTCTGGGATGAGGTCGGGCATGTCCCTCTGCATGGGGGGGATGCGCCAAAGCAGTCAAGAGAAACAGCATGGGGGCGATGCTTCTGCTGTTCTTGCCTAGTTTCGAACAAGTGTGGACTCACGTTCACTGGTCGTGCAAAAGCCGCCTGTAGGACATGCCCGCCCTGACTCGAAGGAAGCGGGGGGCCTCTCACACGCCAGCCCGCCTTCCAAGAGGGCCACCCGCTCCAATTCGCCCCGCCCCGCACGGGCGCGCCGCGCCGAGGCAGCTCCGCGCGTGGGGGTGGCGGAGGGATGCGTCCAGGCGCTGGTGCGGTGGTGGCGCCGTCCCTCGCGGCCCGCGAGGAGGCAGGGAGCCGGGAGGAGGCCGGGAGCGGCGGCGCGCCCGGGGGGGGGGGGGGAGCCTCCTCGGGAGGCGCCGGGGCTTCCCGGAAGCCCCCTGGGCTTCTTGTGTGTAAGAGGCCCCTGCGGCTGCCAGGAGGCTCAGAGAGCTCCTCCAAGGGCCTTCCGGCCTTCTGGGCCTCCCGGGGAAGCCTGCCTTCTCCGCCTTCCCTCCGTGCTCGCCGCTGGACAGGTGGAGGGCGGCTGGAGTCTCCGTGAGCAGGCTCGGCCGGGCGACGAGCTCGGCCTCGGGCCTCTTTCGGGTTCTGAACGGGCCTCCTTCGGGTTCTGAGTTTTGGGAGAGGCATCGGCGCGTCCTTCTCCCTTGGCTCTGGCCCGACCTGTTCCTGCTTGATCCTTCCCGCCTCCCTCTTCACATCCCCGCCACCCTCCCCCCCCCTTCTCCCCCCTCCTCCTCCTCCCTCGCCTCCTCCTCCCTCTCCTCCTCCCCCTCCTCCTTCTCCTCCTCCTCCTCCTCCTCCTCCTCCTCCACATGATCCCCCTGCTTCCCTTGTTCCGTCGGCCCACCCCCACCCATCCCCCCTCAAGTTTTCCTCCCGTGATCTCTCCCTCGCCCCTCTGTCCTCCCTCCCCCTCCTCCCAACCTCCGTTCCTCTCCCCCTTCTCCCGTAGTGGCGGGTCCACATGAACCCCGACCCCGCTGGACCTCCCAGGAGCATAGTTACGAAAGGGGTGACGGCTGCGCAAGTCGCAACCACCCAGGGAGCAGCGAGGTCCAGCCTGGGTCCGCGTGCGCCCCGACCGCTGGACCTCCCCGGAGCCCACAAAAGTGGTGGCGGCTGCGCAGTTCGCAGCCACCTGGACCTCCCAGGAGCCCACGGAAGCGGTGACGGCTGCGCAGTTCGCAGCCACCCAGGGAGCAGCGCGGTCCCGCCTGGCTGGGTCCGCGTGCCCCACGACCCCGCGGGACCTCCCAGGAGCCTGCGGAAGTGGTGACGGCTGCAAGATTCGCAACTGCCAGCGAAGGCCTGGGTCCGCGTGCCCCCCGATTCCTGGACGTCGCAGAGAGCCCACGAAAGTGGTGGCGGCTGCGCAAAGTCGCAACCACCCAGGGAGCAGCGAGGTCCAGGCTGGGTCCGCGTGCCGCCCAAACCCCGCTGGCCCTCCCGGGAGCCCACGCGACAAGAACGGCTGCTCAGTTCGCAGCCACCCAGGGAGCAGCGACCTCCCGTCTGGGTCCGCCCCCCCGACGCCGCTGGACCCCCCAGGGAGCACACGGAAGTGGTGACGGTTGCGCAGCTCATAGCCACCCAGGAAGCAGCGAGGTCCCGTCTGGGTCCGTCTGCTCCCGCGACCCCGCTGGACCTCCCAGGAGCCCACGAGAGTGGTGACGGTCGCGCAATTCGCAGCCACCCCGAAAGAGGTGACGGTTGCGCAGTTCGCAGCCCCCAAAGGAGCAGTTCGCACCCCCGCCCCGACCCCGCTGGACCTCCCAGGGAGCACACCGCTCGAAGCGAGAACCCATCACAGGTGGGCTGGGAATAAGGCAGGAGGCAGACGGCAGGACGAGGGAGGCGGGAATGAGACGGTAGGCGGGAGAGGAGGTACAGACCGCGGTGCTCGAGCCAAAACGAAAACCCAGCACAGGAGGGCGTGCAAGAAAAATCAGTGATCCAAAACTAGCAGATGAGCACGACGAACCCAGGATCAGGTGTATCAGCACGGCGAGAACATATTGAGGGCTGATTCTTTTGCTGGAGGTAAGCTGAAGAAAGTTGACGACCAGCTAGAGGTATAAACCGACGACGGGCAACGCACTGCGGTGCTCGCGCATTGCAGCACAATGTACACCTATGCCATACAGTTCAAAGCCACGCAACTGAATACGAAATTCGCCGGCCCAATGGGCCAGAGGCGTGCTCAGATCTCCGGTAACTGATTAACTATATTTCTATTTCGCGCGCGCGGGGCGGCCCCTGGGGGTCCCCGGGCGAAAAAATACCCCGGGCAAGTCCCGGAAGGGTCGGGTCAGAGATGCCGGACTAGGCAATTTTTCGACACCACTCACGAGGATCGTGGCCTCCGAGGGGGGTCTGCAATCGACTACCCCCCTCCTGCCCCAAGAGGCCCCCAAGAGCCCCCCAAGAGGCCCTTGAGGCCCCCAAGACGCCGCCAACGAGCCCCAACAGATTCCAAAGATGTCCCAAGAGGCCCACAAGAGGCTCTAAAGAAGGCTCCAGGACCGGCGGAATGAGCGAAGCGATAAAATGATGGCATGCAATTGCAAAGCGCTGCAAGACAAGCAATGCAACATAAAACCATACAAAGCAGTGAGACGAACAGCATTGCACCAGAAAGATGATGCAACGCGGCGAGAAGTCATACAAATCCATGACAACCCAGCTATATCAAAGTAGCGCAATGCAAAGCAATACCAGGCGACTCAATACGACCCGAGCGACCGGCCCCGATGGTCAAAGAACCAGGTCCCCGAGCGACCTCGTGCTCAGGTCATGAGAGACTTGGCGCCCTGGGCGAACCTCGAAAGCCCAGACTCTGGGGCTGGCAATGCTGTGGCCATCGGGCCCTTTGCCCATTAGGCAAAGCCGAGCTGCGAAAAAAAGAGAGTGAGAGAGAGTGAAAGAGAAAAAGAGAGAGAGAGAGAGAAACAAAAAAGAGAGAGAGAGAGAGACACAGAGAGAAAGAGAGACGGAGGCAGAGATGGAGGCGGAGACCGAAATGCAGGCAGGGACATGGGGACAAGCGCGGGCTTAGAGAGACAGAAGAGTTAGAACGGGAGACAGAGACAGAGAGAGAGAGAGAACAAAGAGGGAGGGAGGGAGGGCAAGGAGACAGAGAAGGCGGAAGAGAGCCCCAGGGAAAAAGCTGGATTCCACGGGCCGCCTTGCCATGGTGTGGCATAAAGCTCGCTCGAGCTTGCCCTCCCTCCAGGGGGGTATGCTGATCGAGCTGGGTCGGAAAGTGAAATCCAGCCCCGTCATGGGCGAACACACAAAATATTCATATCCGCGGCCTCGCGGGCAGGACCCCTGCGACGCGACCTCTCGGATACGTGGCGTTTTTTCACGGATACCCCGCGCCCAACGTATCCACGCGACCGCGCATCCGCTTGATCACGCCCAGGAATCCAAACTGCGACGGCGCGGATACGAATAGATTCGCCGTTCGTGACCCCCTGCTGGGGCGTCGGGGGCTCTACGAGAGAGCCCTTCTGCTGAGGATGCCGTGCGCAACTCTGGCCCGCGATCGTCTCTTCAAATCGACCAAGAATCAACGATGGGGCGGGCCCGTTCGGAAGGCTCGGAAGGCTCCCGGCCTTCGGAGAGATTGTCTTAAGCCTTTCCCGAAGACACAGAAAAAAACACTCTCAGAAGGTGCGTAGGTTCCTGAGGAGCCCCGCCGCTTTGGGAGAAGGAATGCCCCCTCCCACTTCCCCCTGGTTTCGCCGCCGAGGTATCGCGAGGGGATGTTTAGTTGCTTTGCTTAACAACAACAATACGAATAAAATGAATAATACGTGAAACAAGAAGTAAAAATATGTATACGAAAATGAGTGTGCATAATAACTATCATAAGATTAACAAGAATAATCATAATAACAATAATAATCAGCAAATTAATAGTCTGAATAATAATAGTATTATTATTTATAAGAATTAAAATACTACTAAGCAGAATATCGACAATAATAATAATGTTAGCTTTCCGGCGCATACGAACAACAATAATTATAATGATATTTTCCCCGGAGCAATTTTGGAGGGGAGGGAGAAACGGACACAGCAGCACGATGACAAACTCGGCGACGCAGTGGCGGGGCCACTGAGCTACCACAACTGTAGTGCGCACGAAATGAACTGGAGCGTCCAGCCACATAGACAAGCTGTCCTGCGAGAGATGACTGATATAGATGGCCGGTATCCCTGCAATGGCCCCAGCCTCGGTTGGAAGAGGAAGCAGGAGGACGAGGAGAATACTGGCACGAAACTCCCGGCAACTTGTCATCTAGACCCGCGCCCTGCCAGGCGGCAAGGGCACATCATTCCACGATGCGAGGTGCGGGATGCCCCAAGGCCCGACCGACCACCGATGCACTTAAGCCTCACACTGCGACGACCAAACATATCAGCAGTACCATGCAGGAAAATCAACCATAGGCTACATGTGAAGCACACCAGACCCGCGCCAGCGGCACAAACACACTAATGTGGTGGCATGAGTGCGCGACGGGCGCACCACGCGCGAGACGCACAGCTCTGGCGGGCTCCTGCGCGGGCTCGGCGCCCAGCCGGCGGGCGCGAGCACGGCGGCCCCGCGCCGCCGAGGGGGGGGGGGGGGGGGGGGGGGAGGAGGTGGCGACAATCAGACCCTACAACGAGTCTTCGGCCGTCACTGGCGGGCGGGGCGCGTCGCTTCGCCCTCGGCAGGGCGCGCCCTGCGGTCAGATCCACGACCGCCTGGTTGAGCGCCTCTTGCGCCATTTGAGGCGCGCGCCGCGCTGCACGCCGCCCCCAGTTGCGCGCCCTGTAGACGGCGGCCGCGCGCAACACGCCCAGGGCAAGCTCTGCGGGCGGTCTGCGCGCAGTGCCTGTGGCAACCGCGAGGAACTCGGCGAGCCGGGCTGCCTGCGGAGCGGCCGCGGCAGCGCGCAGCCCCAGCGTCGGCGCGCGAACGCAACCACCCGCCAACAGCACGAATAGTGCTCGATGGAATCATCCGCCCCCGCCCAGCCGACGACGCAAGCGGCGCTGGCCACGGGGCCCTCAGGCCAGCGCCGCCGCCATCCAGCCATTCCATGGTGCCTGGAGGACGGCGGCCCGCACGCGCGGAGGCACCAGCGGGCCAAGCTGCTGGAGCGCCACCCCGGCGCGCGACGCCGCTTCGGCCGCGCCCACAGGCAACTCCCATCGTAGCAGCTAGCGCCCCATCCGCGGGCCGACGCACGCGTTGGAAAGCGGCTTCAGCTCGCATCGTAGCGCTCGTTGGAAGCCGCGCCGGACTGAGGCCCCCACGGCTTCGCTGCACGGTCTGAAGGACCGGTGTGCGAGCAGGCGCTCCACGGCTGCGACCGAGGCGCCCACGGCCGCGCACCGCGACACCGATGCGCCCAGCTGGCTCATGAAGGCTCTGTCGAACCAGTCAGCCCAGAGACTCAGGCGGACCACCTCGTCGCTCTCCTGCCGCCAGCGGCGCAACTCAGCGTCGCGCTGGGAGACCCGCATGCCGCCTTGCGCGCTGGCCTCGTAGCGTGCCACGCGACACTGTGCGGCGATCGCCAACAGACGCAAGTCCAGCAGTTCCTTCGAAAGGCCTGAGTGCCTCATCAATTCAAGACCTTCTGGTTGGCACCATGCGCCCGGCCCTGGAAACAGTTCAGGGGTCGCCGCGGCCTCCACCTCCTCCCACCTGCCTGGCGGGCCGCCAAGCTGAGCGACAAAGCTGAGAACTGGCAGGATGTAAATGGCGCAGGCTGAGAGTGTGAACAGAAACCCTGCGCCGACTTGTCCCCGCGCCAGGGCACGTTCATAGTACTTACGCAAGGGGGCCTCGTAGGTGCGCCATCCTCGCTCTGATCCCAGATAGAACCCAAGATACTTTGCAGCGAAGGCGACGCGGATGCCGCCCCAGCCCGAGCATGTCGCCGCCACGCTGTGCGCCACCGCGGCGACGCTTGCTGAAAAGAGAGGCACCAGGATAGTCTTCGAAGGTTCAACTTTACTCCAAATATCAGCGCGCAGTCTGCGAAGGTTGCCGAGAAAGCAGGCAGGCTCTGCAGACCGGTCGGGATCACCACTGCAAGGTCGTCGGCGTAGGCGCACACCAGGCAGCCAGACGCAAGCCGGTTCACTCGCCGTACGAGCACGTCGGCGGCAACTGCGAACACGAGAGGCGAGAGCGGGCATCCCTGGCGGATGCCTGCCTCCAGGCAGAAGCCTTCATGTCGCGCGCCGCCCACCGCCAACTGCCAGCTCGCATCGGCTATCGTCATACAGTGCCTCGAATGCAGAAGCCAAGCCAGGAAACGCAGGTGGGCCATGATATCCTTCCAGAACTGATGCCCGATGCTCGGGAATGCTGCGCGGAAGTCAAAGAATATCGTTGCTGCGGCTGGCTCGTGTAGCGCGGACCGCATCATCTCGTGATCCACTGCTACGACATTCGAAAGAAAAGAACGCCCGATCAACAAGCCTTGTTGCATGTCAGTAACCCACTCCGCGAGCACCGATTCCATGCGTAGCCGGACGGCGGTTGCCAGAACGCGGTTTTCTGCGTTGACGGTGGTCAACGGCCGCGTGCCGGACGGGGCGTGGAACTCGCCGGCCGCGGCGCTGTGACCTGTCGGGGTTATGGGAAGGAAGACCATCAAGCTCGAATTGAAACTCTGCCCAGGGAATGATGCGTCCTGGCAGCAACGTGTCAAGCGGTCCAGCCAACCTGCGGCCGACATGTCCAGGGCCGCTCGGAAGAAGGTGTCGATTGCCAACCTGCCCAGGCGTTGCCAAGCGAGGAACGGGACCCCGTCTGGCCCAGGGGCGGAGTGTGGAGCCTTCGTGACCGCAGTGTCCACGTCCGCACGTCGCAGCTGCCACCGCGCGTCGTCCAGCGGCGGCATGCCTGGGTGGGAGCTGCCTTGCGGGGGGACCGGGAGCTCCTCGCAGAGCCACCGTGCCAGCAGAGCCCGATCTTTACGCCTAGGGCCGAAGACCTCGCGCCAATGGTTCCTGAGCGAGCTAGCCATGGCCCGCGGGTCGGCGCTCACTGTGCCATCCGGCGCCTGCACCGCATGAACAGCTCCCGAGCGACCAGTGCGTACTTTTTGAAGCCGAGCGTGAATGCGACCCCTGCGGACTCGCGCCTCGTCATCCGACATGTCCGGCAAGTCCGAATGCAGAGCTTGAAGATCAGCCACGGCCGCCTCCTGGGCGAGCTCGACGGCCTGCTGTCGATAGTAATAAGAATATGCATAATCACCATCATTCATAATCAGTATCACAATTGGAATCTTAATCATAATGATACGAACGATACTGATAATAATGATAATCCAAACGGAAATTGCAATCATCCCACAAAAAAACATCATCTAGAATAAGAATAGTAAGAATAACAATCACAATAATGGGGCGATGAGGCGATGGAAACAAAACCAAAAACATACACAGACAACAAGCAACAAAAACGAAAAGCACTAGAGCATGGCAGGCGAGGCCTCGCGGCCCAACCAGACCTCTGCAGCGAGCGCGCCCCGGCAGAGCCGAGCCTGGCGGCCCCTGCCGGGGAGCTCCTCGCGGGCGGGGCCCGCGCCGGCCGAGGGGCCGGCGGCAGCCGCGCGGGAGGTGGGCGCCGCTGGGGGGCCTGCCGCCGCACTGGAGGGTCGCTGCTGGGCGGCGTGCCCCCGAGGGGGGCGGGGGGGCGAGGAGGAGGAGCGGGGCCCCGGGGCTCCTCGGGAGGCCTCTCGCGGCTCCTCGGGAAGTCTGCCGCGTCCTCGGGAAGCGGGAGGGCCCAGAATCGGATCGAGAGGTCGAATCGGCGCTCGGAATTCATCAGATCGGCGAAAATCGGCAGCCAATTCGGGAGGAGTGGGATCGGCGGAAATCGGCAGAGTAGTAAGGCCTCACTGAGAAATCGGAATACAAATCGGAATCCAAAGTCGAATCGAATCGGGGTCGGAATCCGTCGGGATCGAATCGAATAAGATCGGGAGAATCGGGACGAGCCCTGGGGAAGACCCACAGAACTCCTCAAAGGCCGGAGGCCTTCCGAGCCGTCCGAGCAGGCCCTGCGCTCGCCGCCGGGGTGTGAGGAAAAGCGTGGAGGCCTCGCCAGGGCACTTTAGGTCCGATTCGGATCCACGTCGGGTTCACGTCGGGCCACGTCGGATTTGCGTCGGATTCACGTCGGATTCTCGGCGGATCATCGCTGCGCGAACGTCGACACGTGCCTGGCGAAACGGACCTGTGGACCATATAACACAGCGCGCGAGGCCTCCAGCATGTTCCGCATGGTGATCGAGCCGGGAGCCCGACCGTGCCATCAGCCACCCGATGCGGGCACGTTTTCTATCCTTATACACTGGCTTTTTTGATGTTTGGGGAGAGAATGTCAAAAATCCCGAGGCGCAATGGATAGACGAGCGCGCTCCACTACTCGCAAAGTAACTACTCGCAAATGGCCTGGATCCGCCGCGGGGCATCTACGATAAATTACATCGAAGCAGGCATGTGTTTTTCGGACGCTTGCGAGTAGGCACTTTGCGAGTAGTGGAACGCGCTCGGTGAATGGATGTGGAGGTCATATTTGTACCCATCTCCATTGCGTCTCGGGTTCCTCAGGAGAGGACTCCGAGAGTCCGAGACGCGAGGGATATGAGTATAAACCTTTCCCGCGAACCGCAGAATCTCGCGCTGGCTGCAGGCGCTGTTGACTAAGGGCCGCGCTAAGGCAGGATGCCGGGCGCCACGTACGGGTTGCAACTGGGGGCGCACGGAAGCGAGGGTCGGGGACTTGGCCAGCACATGCACGTTCTCCGAAAGAAGATAGAACGCACCCGGAGGAAGAACAGCACGAATCTAGTTCCTACCCCGTTGAGGTCACAAGTTGTTCTCTTAAGCTGCTCCATACCGTTGACCGTGTGACATTTGTCAGATCCACCTGGCCACCCAAAATTTTAACATGCTCATTCGATGTGGCTTTGAGACTCCTCCAACCTATCGAACTCCTCGAAGCCATAAAACACTAGCCCGCCACTCTGAGGTTGATGGAAGTTGTCGTGGGTACATTTGCTCCCTCCTCCTCCCTTCCTCCCTCTCCTCTCCTCCCTGCCTCCTCTTTCCTTCTTCCCTCCCTCCCTCCCTCCCCTAGCGAAACTGTCGAAACCCTGTGAGAGGAGAATGGAAATGGCTACCAACGCCACAATCCCTGGCGAAACGAGAGAGACGTGCACGGGAAGGCTTGCTCACCGTATGGCGTTCCACGGATCGCGAGCTCGTGAAGCCCAAATGAGCACTTCGCACCTCCTCCTCCAGAAGAAGAAGAAGAAGGGGTGGAAGAACGTTTCCGATGATGCTGGTCGGTCTTCTTGGTTGCGGAGTTTCCTGGGTAACCCTCAAAGATTCCCAATGCTCCCGAGGTTCCCGAAGGAAACTACCACCTCCTCCTCCTCCTCCTCCTCCTCCTCCTCCTCCTCCTCCTCCTCCTCCTCCTCCTCCTCCTCCTCCTCGTCGTCACCCTTCTCCCCCATATTCAGCCATTATGGCTGGAAGTCCGCCATTCCCTCCCCCAAAGAGAGCCTCAAGACCCGTAGCATGCCGCAGAGAGGCTCCCCAGGGACTCCAAGAGGCCGCCGCCCAGTGACCTCCAAGAGGCCCCGAAGAGAACCCCCAACAGGGCCTCGATAGGCCCCCAGGTGGCCTCCTGATTGGTTGCGACTTCTTCAGGCTTTGTTGGTTTTTTCCTGAATTCTCGAAATCTGAGGGATTCCTGAGGGGCCCGCATGGCCCTTTCA